CCGAAACTTTCCGAGCCCGCAATCAGTGGAGAAAACGTGTAAGTCGGCGGGAACCGAAACGAGGGAGGCGAGGCGTCAGACTTCAGGCGTACATACCTTTACTGAATGCGAACCTGGAAAACTTCGGAAAAGCTCGTTTTCGCGGCTTTCATGCGTTGCAAAGCCCAGATATGGATTCCTCATGACGAGAAGACTCCGAAAAGGTGACAAACTGAAAAACAAAAGCGGAGACACTGCTTTTATGGGAAACGGGAGCACCACTGTTAGAAAGGCGAAGAGATTTTTTGTACCGGACACTGTTGAAGCTTTTGTCTGTCTTCATTTCTGGCGATTTTAGGATAGGTGCCAAGGACGGCGAGAACCTTATTACCGACCTAATGTTATCAAGTTTCCGAATTAGACTTTAAGTTCTGACGCTTGCAGTATGATGCCGAATAGTTGAAATAGCACCTTGCGGAAGCTTTAATTTTAAAAATTTTTCTTCGGAAATGTGAAATAAAAATAGGAAGGATGAAATAATGGGTAGATAACTTCGATGTACATCTTAGCACTCCATAAAACCACTTTAGAGACATGGACATCGAGAAGACAAAAAAATTCCGCATTGGTGCAGCGCAAAGCGTTTGTCTATCGCTTTTTCAAGGGACTTGCAAATTTCGAAGATGGCACAACTCATTTGATAAAGCGTTTAATTACTGATCTCCATAAAAAGTTAGATTGCCTTGTCAGGATGCTCTCCTTATAACACTATTCCAACGTTTGAATTTCTTGAGTTTAAATTTTTCGCGTTTTTGTTTTGCTTTACTTCTTTCTTCCTCTTTAGTTCCTTCAGAGTACCTACACTCTTTTTGAAGCAGGAACACAAGACACAAACGATTATCACTTTCTAGTCACTATCTATAGAATATCAATTGCATACTCTTGTTGTGGGAGACCAGCCATACTATTCCAGGAGGTGATTCCTGCGATCCCTTAACTCCTGCATTTCCTGTAATTCCTTGACTTTCGATGTGCCGCACTACAAGCGCTTTGCGAATTTCAGTATACTTTGTTTTCTCGCAGAATACATTATTGCAGGAACCACATCACAGGAACTGCGACAATTGCAGGAATTACAGAAATAGTATGGCCGGTGCCGTGACCGCATACACGATCATTCTGAGAAAAACCTTCAGCAGCTTTGATTGTTTTTGTATAGGAATTAAAAGACCAGCAGTCGGAGTGGTAATTTGGTCGAAGCCATCATTCTAATTAAGTTTCCATACTAGTAACTAGGAGCTTCAAATCATTTTTGCAATAAAGCCACGAAGAAGTAACCAATTGGATTCAATGGAAAGGACACTCCTCAAAAGAAAGCCACTCGGGAGATTGAACCCTCAGTATCCTCATGTTTGTCCGCAATCACTGCATCTCACCAAATTTTATCTCGGTATGCAACTTCTTATTTTTCCACAATGGTTATTCCTTACTAACCATTTATAACAAAGAATCGCTGGAAAGTGGTTGCAAATATGAGTACGGATGCTGCGCTACGTAGGCGCCACAGAAAAGTCGATTACATCAGCAGTGATCTTTACGAGTATTTTGCGAGTAATGGACAGTTCATACGCTTCCGTTTTCAGTTCGTAGAAAGAAAGCTATTTGGTTTCTAATGCTTCTGTCATCGAAGCCTACTCACGACAGCAGGAGAATTTGGGCTGTCTCCTAAAAGCAGCAGGTAGGGTCTGTCAAGGCCTTTACCATGGGCCATCTTTTGCTACATTTTACTGTGGAAAGTTATTTGGGTGGCGATCGGAGTCAGGTATCTCGTCACAAATGCTCATCAGATTGTTCTTGGTGACACTGTGGGGTTGTCAACAGCCAATGTCGATATAATCCGCAAAATAGTCCTGGCATTTAACCATCGACATAGTGTCGCGGTTCATTTTCTGTAAACCATGGGATCTGACGTGATGTAGAAATAGAGCAAGCGAATTTGCCAGGCATAGAAAATCCAGCAGTGGTTTTATCAATTGTGATAGTGAACTTTAGCTGTGTACCTGTGTACTGTGTACCTGTTCACTACTGATCAAGATGTATTGATGGGACCCTTGTAGAACCCTCCCCGCAAGATGGCTACCTATGCATGTGCAGAAAAAGGGTTTTCTTCCTTCAATGTCTGCATCGTTGTAGATGCAATCGGAAGCATCTTATATGTGAACAGCAGCTTTTGGGGATTCGTCCGTGCTGCAACTGTGTGAAGACGAAGCACCCTTGGACAGGTTATGACTGATGGCGGTACATGTGCAGGCTACGCGCTTATAGGAGTTCCGGCTGTGCTAATGGAGAAATCATGGCCCCCTATCGGTTCACCAGTGTCAGAGGCTACTGAAAAAACGCTTCAATCGGGAACCTAAGCTGCTATTCTTTCTTTATAGAAGGCTTGCAATTCAAATCTTGCCTTCGAAAAATTTTTTTCAAAAGAGATTCGTCTGCAAGATCTTTTTCTGCGCCTGTTTTTTTTTGCGATACCGGTCAAATGTTTGCTTGGTTCAGAAAACTAGAGACGTTCGAACATAATTTCTCCCTCTATTTTCGAGCGATAGGGCTTTCCTTTTTCTTTATTGAAGTGTTGTTGCATCTGCGTAGGCGTCAGCGCAATATCGAACCATCCTACTTTTCTGTGCTCGTTTGCGCTTAGGAAACGGTCACTATGACCGCGGAGAAGTATATCCTCATTTTTGAGCTTTGAGTTGATCATAAAATCCAAAGTCTTGCTGTTCAGAGGTGTTGCCCTTTCTTCTTTGACGCGATTTTTCAGAATCCACATTTACATCATAATTAGAATAAACGTATTTTGCTTTACTGTTTTTCAATGAAAGAGGATACACAGGAGCTGCCCGTCTCCGCATCTGTACGATTCTGGCAGTTGAGCGTAATTCCAGTAATAACCCACGAAATGGTACGTTCATTCGGCGTTAACAGCAGAATAGAATGATTCTTTGATTTTACTAAGATCCTTTACGCCTGAACATGGTGTTGAACTCACACGTCATTGTTTCAAATGAAGTGGTCAGGGGCACTTTGAATGTTAAACAATGATCTAGTGGTTTCACGTCTGCGTTTCATGAGCTAAAGTGCTACCATTACTCTGACTGATAACAAAAAAATGAATTGAACCGGTTGCATGCTTCGTAATTGGGGTAAAATGAAACAATCATGGAACAAGCGTGGTAGTCTGTTGCTTAATTGCTTGTTTCATGATTTTGTACGACCGATTGAACAGAGAGGTCGGGAGAAGATGATCACCGTTACCACTATGTAAGCTAGAGGGAACAACAATATATTTTATGATGGTTTTAACCAGATTACCACGGGAGACGATCTTTTCGCAAAAGCGGTCTCAAGCGCCACCCTGATTTTACTTGTCTGAACACGTCACGCACGTCGCAAACCTTTTCTCCTATTGCTTTGCTTAGGCTGCGTTCCTACTGACCCGAAAGTTCGGGAACAGTTCCAGCGCAGCGCTCGAAGTAAGCATTGTGTTTAAAGTGTTCCCGAACATCCGGGTCAGTATAAACGCAGCCTTAGGGAAGCCGCCGCGGGATGTGAGTAAAGTTAGCGAAACTGATTTTTCGGGGTTTTATTCGCGGCAATTTCGGTCCTGATTCTGACTAGCACTAAATGCTTTTGTTCTTATGGCGTAATAAGATCGACGAATCTAACCTAGGACCGAAAGCCAGCGCGCACTATTTTGTGACATCTTGCGTGTTATAGGCAGAATACTGCTCATGGCTCGGATATTTCTGGACAAAAGATGTAAGGATACGTAAAAACTCATACTTGGTTTGACTTGAATATTGTGCTTCATGCTTTTTCCCATAGCCCCATGGCTATCCTTGAAAATGGCCTTGGAAAAAATGTCAATATATTATATATCAACTCAACACATCAGCAACGGTTCCATGCTTGTAGTTTAGAATCGGGCAAAATTGCGCCTGTGGGTTAGGCTTCCTCCTCTGTGTTATCAATGCTCGTGGAAACTGGTAGAATTCTAGCTATGGTAGGTGTGGAGGTGTATGATAGTAAACAACTGGTTAATCAGAATACTTATATCACAGCAGGTATGTAATGCTTAAGGCATGCTTTCACGGTACCTTGAGAACAGATACAGGGTGTCCCAAAAGTATGTATGCACTGTTTGATCGTTAATATCTCTCTTCTCAAGAAGTCTTTTGCCTTGCTTCAGGTACCGTTTTGTAGAGCTGGCTTCAACTTAGATTTGCAGTATAGAACGAATCACCTATCTCTCTTCATTACTGTAGGATTAGAAAATTGAAACATATGGTGTCAATGTGGAAAAAGGTGCCGTTTCAAAATTTTTCAAAAAAATGTGAAAATTTGTATAATAGGGTTTTTATGAATGCTGAGTTCACTCAACTATTCACAAGATTTCGAAGCTTTCTAAACGGTATAATCGCACTTTTTAGGGACATTGAAAAAATGGCCGCTACCTCTTTCCCATAACTGTTCAATGAAGCATCATAAAAAGTGTTGGGAACTTTACAGTTAGCATCAACAACTCTAATTAGCCTAGTGCAAAAGTTTTCAGGCCGTTTTGTTTCCTTTCTGAGGCAAAATATAGCCTTTCATGGCTCAAAACCCTCTTTGAAGTTTCTACCGTAATCCTACAGTAATCAAGAGATATGGGTGATTCGTTCTTTACTGCAAATATAAGCTGAAGCCATCTCTACAAAACGGTACCTGAAGCAAAGCAAACGACTTCTTGAGAAGAGAGTAACGATCAAACAGTGCATACATACTTTTGGGATATCCTGTATTGTACAACAAAGATGGTGCCGATGTTGCTGACACAGCCAACATCGCGGGAACTTATGGCTAAGTCCAGCACTTTCCTAATGACGTCTATGTAAAAGCATGCATTGCAAAGCGAAAAAACTTTATCAGTGTGTTCATTCGTCAACCTAAATTGTGCTAATACAAAGTACACACCATAGAAGCTAGATCAATTTCAACAATCCTTCTATGTCGGAAAGAGTTTTATCAGCGAAAAAGTGAGTACGTATTTCCTCATTGGTGATCTGTGCAATGCATGGTAAAGTTAGCAGCAGGAACGATGACTGAGCTGGTCCCTGCAGAGCTGCTCGGGTATTCAAACAACCGCTTAGTATGGCTGCTGATTCACTCTGAATCTCACGAATTTGCCGGCGACATCTAAGTCCCTCGCACTCTGCAATGGGATAGAATTTTTTCAGGTCAAAAAGGGCTACAAACGGCAACAGAGGATCCTACCAGGTCTGTATAGGAGCACGTTAGTCACGCACCATTGCTCTAGAGGCGACAACTGCACACTTGTAACAAACTTCGCGATAAGACAAATTTTTCCTGAGCCTAGAACAATCTCTTCTGAAAAGACTCATGATGTGTACAATCTTCGCCAAGTTTTGCTCATCTTACAAGGAAGGATACTGACTTAGATTCGCATTTTGAGTTGAGACATCTGGAATCAGCTTGAGACGCTGATTTCCAACGTCTGTTCCTAGCGCTGAGCGGCATTCTGAAGCGAGTTATGATCTTTTCTATGCAAAATCTGCGAGTTCATTGACTTAGGGTCGCGTGAATTGATATCCCGCCGAGAGAGGATTGCAGCTCAAAAGCTTAATCATCTACTAAAACTCCAGATGAATGGATTTCACGCTATCTATCTGTCCGTCAGTATTCCTACTATCTTCTACTACAAACATATTAAACAGGAGCAAGAAGTTGTGCAAGCAGCATTTTCCAGCTTTTTGTATTGTTCCCTGACGATTCCCGGCGTCTTCAAGGTCTTATTTCTTTCTTTGAAATTGATAAAAACGTGCCAAAGTTGTACTGTACATTTTACTCAACAGTGCTTAGCATGTTGCTGATAAGAATAAATGAGTGTTTGCAATATCCCCAATTTTCAATTTGTGGTTCATCGCAAATTTCACGACGTCAACACACCACTGGTTTTACCAGCAACATGCCTAACACCGTTGGGATAGATGTGCTGTACAGCTTTTTGAGATCTCCGTTAACTTTGAATAAAGAAAAATGACCTAGAAGAAAAGACGGTTGGCCGCCGGGGATCATTAGGGGATCATACAAATAGCAGAGAAATGCGGCTTGTGCAGCTTCTCGCTTCTGTTCAATACGTTTATAGTTAAGCATGGTAGGAATACGGATAGGTAAGGAGCATCAAATTCAGATATTTAGAACTTCAGGATATAAAGCTTTCTTTTAAGCTACGCTTCCCCCCTGGTTCTTTCCCATAGTGCGTATATGCAGCGCAAGCCCTAGCGATGCAAGCGCGCAAATTACGCCAACGGTCAACCTGCTTCCAAATTGGGACAGATTGTATGCGTGGTACATCGCAAAAGGAGGATTTAAGTTAGCATTTTTTCCTATCAGCTTTCCTTTCTAACGATTTTGAACGCTTGATGAATGGGCATATGTAGCGTGTTTGCAGCTGTTTTCATAAATTTATAAGGTGTCATTAATGTTAGGAGATAGCCATGGAATGAACTCCTTAAAACCAAGATGCTGCGAATGTTCGCCGCGTCGTAGCTCTCGCTACTGTCTTCGCGATCGGACTCCCCGTTGTGGACATCGCCAAATCAACTATAGATAGCTTTAAAAACAGTATTTTTTTGCTCTCTTCAACTTATAGTTCATCGATATACTGTGATATCTTGCCTAGTGTGCGTATTCGCTTAGTTCTGCTAAAGCTTAGATAAGCGGTGGAGCGCGTAGGGAAAATTATATTAGAATGGACGAAATCACTTATATTGTGCGAGATCTTGCATATGAGCGTTAGAATTTGATGGAAGCATAGCAAAATTAGAAAGTGGCCGTACAATGCCTCTTTCGATCGACTTGACAGTCCACGGTCGTTCGGCCTGTGTGAGAACTTCCGTGAAAATTGGTTGAGAGTCTGAATGCAGTGCTCGGCAAAATGTCCTGCTGGATATCAAATGTCAGGTGGCAGACCCGCCAGGTATAAAGGAGCCCAACCCCTGCAAAATCAAGCGCTAATGAAGTCCTGGAATGATATCTACGAAAGTCCATAATGGAGAAAAATAAACTTCCAAACCCCATTTTATTCGTTCGCGGTAGAAACTGGTCGGAGTCTCCATCGTCCCTTCCACATTTGCTGCTACTAATCTGGCGTTGCGGACGTGCCACGTGTGACTAACACGTTGGCAACGTTGGCAGCAACACGTTGGCAACATGCAGCAACATGTTGGCGTGGCCAAAATGTTTGCCAACATATTGTGGCATGTTGCAAACATGTTGTTGACACGTTGGCAACATGTTAGCTACACGTGGCAGGTCTGAGACGCAGACCAAGGGTAGCAGCAACTGTGGAGGGGACTATACTTTCGCTAGTCATCCAATTTTATCTCATCGCAACCACGAAGCAAAGCGGTGTGATGAAAATGAATCAACCCTAGCTGAGCTCTCGCTTGCGAAAGAATCATGCGAAAAGTCCATTTAGAATGGGGTAAAATGGGATTTACCTCCATTTTAAATGGACTTGAAAGCCCATTTCACTCCCAGCAGCAATGTGAGCTGGAACTGACCCCATTTTTGATCTTTCTGCACATTTTTGATAGCGATTTTTTGAGAATGTGTTTGTTCCTGAGCTTATTCTAAGGTAACAAGTGAGTGTAAAAAGTTTCATGTCTTTTATGAAGTCTGAAATAAGTGGTTCTTTCCAAACTCATACACACGCAATAAGCATCATGGAAGAAGGTTAAACACGCCAAAATATTCGCTAACAAACTCAAATGCTTCCAAATATCAGGTCGATGCGAGAATTCCTATGTAATTCAGATAAAGTTTGTTAACTCTTCAAATCATCAACCAGAACTAAATTCATGATTTGTATTCAAAAATAAAAAAGATTTGCGTTTTAATATAATTGCTCAAAGCTATATTTTGACTAACCTCGCAGAACCGAACCTCAAAGACGTCATTTCAACGCGATTTTAAGTCTGGTCGCAAGAATTAATGATGTGCCGCTAGTTAGCAAGAAAAATTCTGCGAAAAATTTCCTACTAGCAATAATCCATATATTCAACTACTTAGAGATATAAACATTAGTGCTGAGAGACAAAGAAGAGCTAAGGTAGAAAATTTGCGAAGTCATCTTTTGCAGATTCGTAGTTTTTCCGACTTAAAAAACCCTTTGAGTTGCTTTGTAATACAAGGTTTCCTATAAGATATGCAATTTGATTTATAGGTTGCAGTGCAAGTCTAGCCAAAGTCTGCTTCCCGCAGAGAGCTCTACATATGAATTTGATTAAATGCAGATCCATAGGTCTCGAAAAGCGAAGGCCTGGATATTATATGAATTTTATTCTTGAAGGTAATTTAGATGCATAGTCATCGATAATAAATGGCATTTTGGGAGGTGTAAGGAAGTGGGAAAGAATAGAAAATCCGACAATGTAATAGGACATAGTTAGATATCGACCACCATCGCACCGCATGGACTAAGTCCATTTTATTCGCACGAAAAGCCCATTTCGCGGGGACTCTCGTGGATGTCATTCCTGAAAACGCGATCTAAGGCAGTCGCTATCTCCTCGAAGAGTATAGCATGGCGAAGGGCGATCGCCGATATTGGCGACTGTACTTTACATACCTATTGATCGCAAACGAGTTACCACACGTCAAATCGATACATAACAAAAGTGTAGTCGCCGAAAATTGGCGATCGCCAAGCGCTACGATGGCGATCGTCAATATTAAAGTTTTTTACCTTCCTTTTTTTGCGCTTTCTTATTTTTTTTCTAATTTTTTGCCTCGTTTTTTTGTTCTTTTAGTACTTTGAGTGTCATTGGCGCAATTCGGATCCTTAGGATGTTTTGAAGACTCTTAAGAGCCTGATAATGTTTTCTTGTGCAATGTCGTGATATGCAAGTGTGCTACACCACGCTTTTCTAATAATGACCCTCTTCAGGAATGCATCTGCATGCAAGTCCAAGTCCACACATGACATTCTTGTTGGAAGCATCATAAAAAGAATCAGACAAAACATTTTTCATTCGGAAACCATTACTGCAGGCAATGATGAGTACCTTAAAATTTTGATGCAATGCACCAGCAGTTTCACAATTTGTGGTCTTGAATTTGAAAAAATTAAGTTTACCACTAGCAAACGAAAGCGAAACAGCTCTCACTTTGGATTAATTAATTTCATAATAAACTAATTGAGCAATTTCGCAGAACAGTAATAAGTAGACCAAATTAATACGAAGAGATGGATTCTCATATTAAACTCCCAAACCGATCATCTTCATCAATATTCTGAAAAATTTTGCGATTCTTTCAACAAAAATAAATCACTTTCGAAAAACCTGATGTATGCCAGTCTACATGCCATATTGGGAGCAGCAGTTTGGGTGAATTCTTTGAAGTAAGGCTAGAACCTCAATTTTGTTTTGCAGTCAACAAAGTTCCGTTCCGATCTGATCGCATTGGTGGAGGTAGAAAGGAAGCTTTAAGATGTCACGTGTGAAGGTTTTCGCATGACCAGCAAGAAATTGAAATGCTGGGAGAGGATACAAAAAGAGCTGTTGAAGAGAGGGCATAAAGGGAGCGGTTCGTTCAGAAAAAAGTTCAAGCTTCTTAACTACTTGAAAAAGATGCAAGAATTTAGTGGAAGACATAAAATTAACTTGGAAGAATTTGCGGGACACATACAAAAGAAACTCACATCGCCTCTAGGGTTCTGCTGGAAAAACCTTGGATCTTTTTGGAGAATATGAGTTTTTTGGAAACTGTGAAAGTGGATGGGTCTGTTTTGATCGCTCAATGATAAATGTGTATCAGAAAATGTATGTAAAAAGTTCTAATTCTAGAGTAAGATTTTCAAACTTGAATGCAACTGACGGTGAAAAAACGTCAAATTCTGGATTATCTATCAGTGACCTTTCCGAAGAAAGAATGATAGAGGAAGATTTTTGTGAGATGTCGAATCATTTGGGTATAGTTCTAATTGTTTTCAAGTGCGAAGCCTGCGTCGTTCAGCTAATATCCTAGATTGATAATCATTCCCGAGAAAGGTGCTGGGGCAATCTGATGACCTTAGAGTTGCGGAGAAAACATCAGGAAATAGTAGGTTGAAGGATTGAATTCGCATTCAACAATATTGCTTCATATTTTGAAATGTCGAATTGTCGTCGAGAAGGGTGCTGGGACAACCTAATCGCCTAAAGGATGCTATAGAAAAAACGTCAGGAAATAGTAGGTTCAAAAAAGAGATTCAGTATTTAACGTATTGCTTTATAATGTTGAGGTGTTGTCCGAGAAGTTGTTGAAGCTTTTAAAAATAAACTCGAATCAGACTTTGGTAATTCTACCAACAAATTCAATTTGTTCGGTGAGTAAATGCGTACGTGCAACCACTCAAATAAGATTAAGCATATATAAGCATTATTTTAGGAACATTTGTCGGTTTTTCCCTCAAAAATCTCTCAGAAGAAGATGCACTGGCGATTTCGGAGATACTGTCTCTTCCAAAGGGATTCGGGCTGGCAATCACACCTCTAAATCCCATAAACTAATTTTTTTTAGATTCTGAATGTTTAACGTTGAACGCGATGAACATTTGTTACGGTGATTTTGTTCACTCCTTATCCGCCTGAGGTCTAGCAGATTATGCAAAGATTAAAGTAAAAATTCGAACCCAAAACCTCTTCTTTTAGTTTGCTTAGAAGGATTGATTTCACTACCATCGCCGCTTTTTCAGGTTCTAACTGCATAGGTGTTTGCAAAACTTGAAATCGGCGAACAAGTATGCCAAATAGCAATTCAATCATTCTCCTTGTTCTAGAAACTTCGACATTTTTTCTGCTTGAATTTTTTCGGGAAAGCTAACCGAGAATGCTTCTCAATGTTCTCAGTGAATCGCCTTTTACTTCCTGTATTGGCCTGAACCTCGGTAAAGGGCCAGATGAACGATGGGCCTGGCCAAAACCGCCATCCACCAATATGTGGTACTGGACAGGTCCAACACCACCCAAGTTCCGAGTTGGAAGAAGCCCGTCATTTTCGTCCACCCATCTCTAAAATTTGGTAAATTACAGTTCGTTCATGGGCAGCGCCATAACCAGGGTCAAGCTTGTGATGCGACTGTCGCAACGGGGGGTCGTAAGAGGGTATCTAAGGTGGGAGAGAGGTCGTAAGAGGAGGTAGTTAGACTAAAATACCCTAGGCTTCAGGCTTCAAAGGGAATCAAAAAGCAAGCAATTAGTTATGTTCTTTACAATAAATCTATAAAAAAAGTGGAAATCAGAATAAAAAAGATAAAAAATCTGTAGAAATTCTCAAAAAAAACATTCAAGAGCTCAAAACACTTTTGAAGGATGTATTATTTGATAGAAATGCTAAATGTACCAATTGCCCTAGAAATCCTGCTTCTGAAGCCTTCCTGAAGTCTCACACACTCGACAAAAGCGAATTTCTTTACCAGCTGTGACCATCATAAAATTCTAAATCTTTTTGTAATGTTTTTCACGAGCTCATATGATTTATCTGTACTTTTGAAATGCTCCGCTATATCAATGCAAAATTTGGTGTTATTTTGTCAACTGTGGATTTTCTTATGATTTTATGTATGGTAGCAAAAAGTCAGGAAAGGGGGGTCGTATCTGGGTCGCATCTAAATTTCTTCGGAGCTATTGAAGCTTGTTGGCTGCAATTTTGCTGTAATATGAGGCCATCCTCCTACTTTCCCTCATAAAATTTGCAGGCTGTTTTATAACTTCTCTGGTAAGTTACAAAATTTTAAGCTCAAAAATCCCAGTTTTTGCTTTTTAGGATCGCATCTAAATTTGCGAGAGTCGCATCTAAATTTTTTCGAGCTTACTGCTCCTCAAGAACTGAAACTTTTTCTTTGGATAGTCTGGGCACTATACTACAGTATCTGTGCTTTGCAGCCTCTCAGTCTTTTCCTGGCCTTGGTTACGAATTTTCAAACTACCGTGCTCATGCACGTTTTTGACGTCGTTCTGGACGGCGTTCAAGCGGTTTTTTTCGCGGGAAAAACTGTGGAAGAGGTAGGAAGTAAGCTTCTTAGTCGAAAACATCCTTTGTAGTTCAAGAATGTCATTTTTTCTCCGTGCAAAATATTTGTGTCGCCTACGGAAATCGAATTTGCTGGCCTGAAGTATGCCTGAAAATTCAAAAGAAAAACTTTCAGAATCTCAAACATTATTAAAGGTGTGTATATGTGCTACAGATGATGGACGCACCCATTGGCTTAGAAATTCTGCTTCCGAAACCTCACTGAAGTTCTCAGCAGGTATTTTTTGAGATTGACATTCGCTTATGCAGGTTATCGCGAGGAATGTGGACAGGGGAGCTAAGGGGGATAAATGGGTGAGGGGTGGGGGGGGGGAGGGGGTCGTACGGATTGGTACCTTCAAGAGGGGGGGGGGTCGTAAATGAGGGTCGCGGATCGCATCAGCACGCTTGACCCTGGCCATAACCTTTATTGAGGACTTTCTGAAAACAGCTGCATCTCCGGCTCTACCGTATGCTCCAATATCGTAGGCGAGTATGCGGTAGTCTGCTCGCATAACGCCAGCAAGATAATTGAATAGAACTGTTTGTAGTTCCAGTACATGCTGCTGGAATTTTTGGGCCTCTTAATTCATTTTCCACTAATAGAAAACGTAAACCCTAAGATGTCTACCTTAATTCTGATGTGATTTCCGCCCAGAAAACCCACTGCGCGCGGGTAACCGTATCTGTGCTGTGTTATGGCGTATTCCTCAAACATCCACGTTGTGAGCTCTGGGAAGGCATCCGCAGAGAGAACTACAGTTCTGTTCTTTTTGGTCTATATAGATTACTATTACTGCACAAAATACCTTTTATGATGGCATTCGTAACCTCACTAACGATATCTGAAACCGTTTTGCGCCCACGGCAAACCTCCTGAGAGAGGGCCACAAAGGTAGGGTCAAACCCAACATACCTTAATTGACTTTGAAATTTATATCAGAAAACTTATTCTACGAATTTTGAATACAACTCTCACCGCAGATGAATGAAAAGGCGCTTCCGCCCCTCTACCGGAGCTGCGTGGGTTGGTAAATAGATCTGGGGCCAGTAACTCGTACAAATCCTCATATTTGTGTGGCATCAACCGTGTGTACACAAAACGATGCCGGATCGTGAGAGGATAGGTATTCATCGAACACGCGGAAGCGCGTATTGATGAAAGGGGCATGCTGTGGGCGCACGTAAGGCCGGGCGGGTACGTCGTAGGCCATTCTTTCAATATTTTCCAGCACCCTCAGAGCATCAACGGCGCTCGCAACTGTCAAAATCCATCTCCTTGAAATAATTTTCAGCGTAACTGGGTAGTTCGGAAAGGGAACAACCTACGAAGTCACACACCACTGTGAAACATAGAAAATGAGAAACCCCTGCAAAACTCAGTTATTTAGCTTTCTTCTTTCCATATTAACTTGTCATTAAGTACAGGAAGGCATAGCTGTTGCTAACTTATCCGCAAACCACTACCAATTTTCACAATACAACGTCGATGTTATCTAATAGCTATGTTATCTAGATACCGAGTACTAGCGATCGCCAACATTGGCGATGACATTTTGATGACATTGCCTAAGAATACATTATCAGGCTCTTAAGAGTCTTCAAAACATCCTAATGATCCGAATTACGCCAATGACAATCAAAGTACTAAAAGAACAAAAAAACGAGGCAAAAAATTAGAAAATAAATAAGAAAGTTCAAAAAAGGGAAGGTGAAAAACTTTAATGTTGGCGATCGCCAGTCGTAGCGATTGGTGATCGCCAGTTTTCGGCGACTACACTTTTGATATGTATCGATTTTACGTGTGGTAACTTGTTTGCGATCAATAGGTATATAAAGTACAGTCGCCAATATCGGCGACAAAAATAGCCGGTTTTACACGTATTTGATGCATATCGATCGTCGCCATGCTATACTCCTCGGGGAGTATAGCGCCTGCCTAAAAGTCCATTATTGACCAATTGAAGTGGGCGGGCTGGTGGACTGTAGGCGGGTTTTCAGGACCTAGATGAATTGGAGGGTGGGTCTTAGAGCTACGGTGTACTTGGGTGGTCCACTACCTAACATCATCAAAAGCTGGCAAGCGCCATTTCACCGAGCATTCTAGCCATTGGAGCATCGATAGCAGGGATTGAGGCTTGTCCATAAAATACTGAGCTGTTCAAAAAGTTCTGCTTGATTTTTAGTTGCCTTGTGTTTATACAGCTATTTCCTCTCCGGTTTTATGAGCAATTTGCAGCATCTGAATGCGCGCTAATTCAACTCTTTCGTTCGCATTCGTTGCACATTTCATTTCAACCACAAGACTACAGTGTGGTCGTCAGAATTTTGATAACATTTCTAGTTGAACACTATCTGTCAGCACTATCTTACAAGCGGAGATTTATTTCCTGTAATATACTGACCTTCCGTGACAAGTCCGGGAATGGAAGCAGCAAGCTGAGTTATTTTGCTGAGAAAAAAGATGTAGTGCCACGAGTTGCTGAAAAGTACCTAAAACGAAGGCATTGAATATTTGTCCAACTCTGAAACATTTCCTATACCTTTCTATCCTCTGCTTGCAGCGTTGACGCTGGTGGAGATGATGACCAGCAGTGTATCAGCGAGATGAGAGAGCTCTCGTAAGATGAAGAAACGAGTCGAGAGATAGAAAAGTCACCTACAGACACTTTGAACTAATGAGGTGCATTGTAGTATATATCAAAACCAACTTTTGAGTCTGTCATGACATTGTCGGGTGTCGTAAGTCGCTGTGATGCCATTAAGTACGCTGAAGCAGAGCAATGAGTACACCTGCAGCTACGAATGACCTATTTTGTGAAACGAGTGATTTAACATCGTAAGGACAAATGAGATTTTTAGCAACAAAATGTGACTTAATGGATGAGTTTACTTCTGGTTGACGGTATCTATGAATTCTGTAAGGTCAACGAGTGGTTTCTACTTGACTTTGTGTCAGTGTTCCTATTTCAGATACGATCAGAAGAATTGAGTCGTAGTTTCAACTCACGCTTTCCTATCGTTTGATACTTTAGCTTCAGGTGGGTCCTGCCATCGCTCCTTTCCATTCGGACGTTCGTGTTGCACGGCTAAAATAATGTAGTAAAAGTAGCGCGAGAAAGTTGATTTTGTCCGTGATTTTCTCATTTCTCGGCATCCTGTACGCACAGTATACGGTAGCTGAGGATCTGTGGCTATAGTTCCATGTGAAAAATTTTGCTACAGTTGCGCGTGAATAATTAGCTACTCCTGAATGCTGGCAGCTTGCGCGGCAAACGGTCATGTGTAGCTATTTGTTCTCGTACAAATTATACCGCAAGATTTCAGCACCGAGGCACTATATTTACCGATATACCCAGTAAATCGCCAATATTGCAGAATGGTGAAAATTTGATCACTTTTTTTGCACACTGAATTCATTACTTACAAAAACAATTTATCACAACCTTTCGACCTTTTCCTGCTTCACCCTCGTATGACTAACCGTGTCTATTCATATTCACTCGAAGACATTTTTCTAGTCGACAGGCCTGGCACTGATTTCTTCGCATTACATCCACCACACATCTTCCATTCTCTTTGCAGGAATACAGTAAACGACGTCGAATAGATCTGAATGAAAACAATGCTTACAATCTCACGAGATTTTTGTTGGATGCACTCGAACAAGGCAGGCAGACATAGGCAGCTTCCTTAGAAGTACATGGTGTTGGACAGTGTTCAGATTTTGGGTACCTGATTTCTCATGTGAAGAATGATCGTCAGTTTTAGACTAAGCCATTACTCAGCGACAACTCATGCGTTATGAATCGTGGGGGTGATATTCAACTCTGAACTCGAACTCACACCTTGATTTCTTTTGTAGGTGAGGAACTCTTTGGTCCGCTCATGAGTACTATTTCTTTTGAGTTTAGAGCTGAAGTTCCCGGTAGTGAATCACACAAGACTCCTGAAGTCTGGCCCAGCTATGACTTTCCAATCGGTGTTTTTCAGTGGTGGTCCCAGGATTTTCATTTGGAGGGGGGGGGGGGAGAATGATGATTTTTCGAATAAAGAAGCTCTTTGTTTTTGTGAAGTCGAATTTCTTGAATTTTTAGTGATGTTTCTAAGATTTTCGCGGGCCGTAACTTCCAAGGGGCTAATTTGAAACTTTAAAAAAATCAGAAAAGTTATTTTAATCATTGTTAATCATACACAAGTCATTTGCATACTTTTGTAACTCATGCAAGTAACCTCCAAAAGTTTCGCGTCCGGTTTTCTAGGGGGGGGGGGGCTCGGTTTGCTGCTGTATCCTTGTAGGAGATTTAGCTGTATAAACTAGCCTGAACACTGCAAAACACATTTTTTTCTGCTAAGCGAGATTTAGGATAAAATGTTATGTAGAAGTGAATATAGTCGGTCGAACGCATCGGGTACGTTAACCCTTTCGGACCTGGTGGTGGCAATTGCCACCATCAATTCAGAGATCTACTATACTGGCGCAAGAACATCATTTCACTACTCATTGCTCTCAAACGCTTCATATAGCCTTTGCCTTCCAGATGTAGCTTCGAGACCTGGTGTTTATTTGCTTCTCTGTGAATAGCATGTACATTTCTGTAAACAAGTGGATTTCAACCAATCAATAATTTGCGCCGGCTTGAGCACCGTTTCAGTATCTCGTTTATTAGCCAAAAAATATTCATAATATTATCATATTCTTTTAGTACGATGCTGAGCAAATGTAACTGTTAACTGTTTGCGGGTCCACATGTTTCGCGGGAGATTTGAAAATCCAAAATAAACGCAAAACCAAAAAATTGAAAAATCAAAAAGAAATAGTTCATAAGGTTAAGCAGACTCCAAACTCCGCTATAATGTTATTCATATGGTAATAAGTAAAAACACTAGGATAGAGGCTTCTCGGCTCACTCGCAAAAACTCAGATCCGAAAGGGTTAAACGGCTCGAAATAGCGAGTACAGATGGCATTTATATTCAAAATCGCAGGTATATTCATCAGGTTCGTCTCACATTCTTGGAATCTTGTGCCAAATTGCAGCTGTGAAGTAAATATATCACCGAAGTGCAGGCTGCGTACGCTACATATGAAAGTCATGAATGCAAAATTCTAAAAATAAAGCTACTGGTAAGAACATGTGCATTTCAAAGCGCCTTTACATCGTGGATTAAATTGTTCCAGTTGCAAGTATCTCCAACTACGGAATAAATTGTTAATGTCTAAATATATTTCATTCTCCTAAACTCTCCTCTTGAAGGCACCGTCCACCCAGATTCTCGACTTCCATGTTTTGGTCGTTCCAGGACCCTCTTATGTCTCTGATTCCGATTATGAAGTCGAGAACCTGCGAAAACCCCAGCAATCCCCGTTCCGGAGAACCCCCAGGCCGGCTTTCCGAAACGGTGATTGGCTGGTTGCGCACGGATGGGCGGGCATGGATGGGGAGGGCTGTGCTTTCTGGAAGTCCTTTGCATCTTCGCTATTCCGAAGCGAATTTCTTGCTTTCGAAGCGACATTTTACGCCGCGACTTTGGTATTGACTTTATAGGGGGCCCTACTGTCATATGCTGCCAAAAGCTTGAGACCCTCAACTTAGGGTGGACGGTGCCTTTAACACTGCAAAAATTACAGCTCGTGCCGATGCGAATGTCTACAATCTTAGAAGGAAAAAACTTTGATTTGCTCGATTGCAGCAATCTGCATTAAAAAGTTAAAAAGTCTAGGTCGAAGATGCCGAAGACTTATGAAGTACAGTTCCGCAAATGTAAGCTCCCAGCTCATTATCCATCACCCTGTTCTCGCTTTTCGTCGTTTCAGACTAGGGCTTCGTATGCGCTTAGCCGAAGTTAAGTCGGCTGATGTGCTGTATGGGTATTAGCTAAGCGACTGGAGTACCGTGATTTCGAAATCAAAGGTTTCGCATTTTTTTCGTGGTTCTTTCAGGGTCGCTTACTGCTATGATAGCTTGTTAGAAGATGCTATGTATATAGCTAGGGATTCCTCGTCTTATAAGCACGCTACACAATGGTACACATTTCTTCAAATGCGTGTGTTTTACCCCAAAAAGTCGGTGAGCTAGCGTGAGAAAGCGAGTTTAAAATTCGGAGTGGGATTACTGAGAGTCGTATTACAGACAGCATAGCCTCTCGCACTTAACTTCAAGGTCTTTGACCTGTTGGAATAGATCATTGTCCAGATATTGCATAATGGAGCAAACTAGAAATTCATTACTGCGTACACGATAATAGATATTGTCTCACCCAAACTTTACATACTGAGGCTCGCTAATATTAGGTTGTCCCGAAAGTTTTGTCCGTTTTTTCAACCTATCATAAAAATACGTGGAACAAAGGTAGGAAACGCTCTAAGCACTATCCGACGCATCTTTTCGTTCTCTTTCTAACAGTCATGCTTCCATGCTGATTAATCTTTTGTTCACTGAGATAAACGCCGAAATTTCGAACCCGTGGTTTTTACTATGTCCAAGTTTGACAATTTTTCACAATCTTCATTTTCAACTTTTGGAAGACCTTTGATAGTCCTCAGATAGAGTAAGCAAAGGGCAATGCAATGCATTATTTGGCATATCTAGCTGGCCTTTCAATATTTTTAAAGATAATTTTTTTCAAAAGTCTTCACTTTTGCGAAGTTCTAAAATATAGAAACCCCTCGAACACTAACAAATCATTGGATTTTGAAGCTTTCAAAGACCGATTACGGTTATTCACTATTTTTACGAAGCAAATGAGCGTTTACCGCTTCGAAATATAAGATTTTGCATTTTACGTGTACACGCTGGGGTGGGCTCAAATTCAAGAATTATGAAAATTTTATCGCCAAGGACCCCGCAAATTGGAGAGAAAATACACTCACTGCAAAGAGGAGGAAAAGATGCATCGAATAACACCTTAGTTGTGCGCCGTTTCATGATCTCTGACTTTTGGCATCGCCAAAAGTGGAATTTGGTAGCATCAGAAAAATAATTCTAAAAAATTTTCAAGGCTGGCTATAGATGCCGCAAAATTGCATTATATTGCCCTTTGTTTGCTCTATCTAACTGTTGCCAAAGCTTTTCCGAAAGTCTAAAATAAAGATTGTGAAAAATCGCCAAACTTGGGCATAGTAAAAACCATGGGTTCAAATTTCGGCGTTTGTCTCAGTGAACAAAAGATTAATCAGCATGGAAGCATGACTGTCAGAAAGAGAAGGAAAAGATGCGTCGGATAGTGCTTAGAGCGTTTCCCTATCTCCGTTCCACGCGTTTTTATGATAGGTTGAAAAAACGGACAAAACTTTCGGGACAACCTAATATTTTTAAAGCGACCAAAATCTTCGGCTGAGAGCAAAGAATCGAATGCCTATGATTCATGTGGATCGTAACATCCAAACCCACCAACAGCCTCCATGAGTACGGTGATCTGACTGATCTGCTCGAAAAGTGGATTATGGTATAGGTAGGATTGACGATGAATATTCCGGTCACAAAGAAACTGTTTAACGCTTCGGCAATGGCTGGACTCTCACGGGTACGCTCATGAGTGGTTTATAAACCATCTGTTCGGGATAACATTGAAAAGACGCCTTTCCATACGTTTTAGTACTAGGTTGTCCCAAAAGTAAACCGTATTTCTAAATAAATCAAATTGTATTTGTTTTCCTGGCCGACTTGGAGCATTATTCGATAGAGCGAAGCAAGCTCTATAAAATGACCTCCAAAGAACCGTATAAGTCGCTACCTGGGTAAAATTTGGGTCCAAAAATCAAAAGTTTTCAGCTATCCCAAAAATCGGATCTCCTTCCAGAAAATTCCTACGGACTTCCAACTTGGTCATTATATAGTAGACACATAGTAGTACCGAAAAATGTTTTTGGTTGATTTTTTTCCGGAGCTCAATATTGAGAAACAAAGATGGTCCCAAAATGCCAAAATGCCACTTTTTTCGGGTTTTTCATGTAAAACTTGGTATTTCTTAATTATAAGAGCACAGACAGAAATAAAGCTTTAAGATTATACTTAGCAAAGCTTCTAGTATACAATGACAAGTGTGGGAGGTGCTGAGGGAGAAGTATGCCATTTTCAGACTACCTCTTTTTTCTCGCTTTCTGAGCTCAGGAAAAATCCATTAAGGATTTGAGTACTACTATGTGTCCACTGTATAATGACCAAGTTTGAATTCCGTACGATGTTATTCTTCGCAAAAATCCAATTTTCAAGCAATATTTTTTTTTCGATTTTTGCTTCAAACCTTACCTGGATTACGACATAGACGGATGTTTTGCGATCATTGTGTAGAGCTTGCTTCGCTCTATCGAATGGTACCCCAAGTCTGCCAAGAACAAAAACAGTTTGATTTATTTTAAAATTACGATTTACTTTTGGGACAACCTAATATTATCACTACCTATAGCCTTAGAGTTCACATATGCGGAACAATTGAATAGTCGTCACATTGGAGCAGAAGAAAACGAAAATCAGTCACCTTTTGAAAAATCCTCTACACCCATCGCAGCTCTGCACACCATAGTGTCGTCCTTAATGAACATATAAAAGCAAATCATTTTCATTGCTATATAGCATGCTTAATAAGTTTCTCATACAACATTTTTATTCTAATAAATGAACGCTTATTCTGATCCCTGCACTGGATTCCTTTTGATGTTTTTCATTACTACTCGATAAATCGTATTTGTAATTGACGTAATGCACAAAGGGTATTTCTAAAATAGTCTCATAGCTTGATAGTGAAAAGTCAATTGTAAAAAATGCAAACTAGAAAACCTTAGCAGATACCGTGCATAGGTAAAGACAAGTATGTCTGTAGCATAGAACCAGTTTAGCAACCAAGTTTTCAACCAAGCATACTCAGTTCTTGTATGGTCCATTCATTAC